GCATGAATGCATAATTGATTCATTTTATTAGGGTTCATGAGCCTTCGAGAACCATTTAAAAATATAGCTCGTTAAATTCTATTTAGAACCATGGTTTTCGAGTACATTTCAATTCATATTGAGAATTTTTTCATGAATTTAAACGTTAACTGGTTCATATACACTTCCATTATTGAAATTTCTGTGATATGAACATGAGAATGTCTACTGCCGGATTTATTTCAAAAATGACGTTTTTATTGCGTTTTGTGTTATTTGGATCCCATGTATAATCAATTATTCTCTCTTCCAATGCATTTATTACACTTTATTTTTGGATTTAGTTGTCGGAAGTGAGTGTGATTTTACTTTGAATCACGAATGAATCAGAAACTGTTTATACGATCCGTGAATTTAACAATTAGGCAATGTTTATTATTTGTATTGTTCCTATTGATCAATCGAACAAGAAGCGGGACTAGGCCCGTGACGTCACGAGTCTAGAAAATACAATTTTCGATAATTAATTGCGGGAAAACAACGCTATTCAGAGAGCTGCAACAAAGTACACTATTTTTCAATTTGAAATTACTACCAAATGAACTATAAACCGAAAATCATGAAACAAGCCCATTGTCCCAGTTGTTAGAGATTTGAAGTTAGTTTTCCAGGAAATACTTGACATATTCAATTTAAACCGTGTGCTCTCTTCTAATTCTCCCCACCACATAAAGTTATGACATCGTCATATCTTTGCGTATTTTGCAAAGATCTATACCACACATAGACAAATAAAGAAAAAGAAGACACTTTGTTTTTCATTTTGTACATTACTTCAGAATTTTAAAAGTCAAATTATTATTTAGTTTTTCACTAACTTCTTTGAATCCAAAAGAAGCTCTGCACGCAAACATCCGAACTGCAATACTCTTTTCGACGCGCATTTCACTAAGGAGATGAAGTAGATTTCAATAAGAAGTAGGTAGCAGTAGTATCATTTCTTTTCTTTTTCGATAAATTCAAGTTTGTATAAGAACAGTTACTCTGAACCTTAGACCTAAAGTAAAACCTCACACAATTACAAGTACACGAATTATTCAAACATTCATCGTAAAACTTGGACAGATTATAAACACCTATCATTCTTTGAATTGAATTGGGTGCTTTGTTCACTCACTCGAATTGACTGCCGTGTTGGTCGGTGGTTCAAGCCCTAGTCTGAACGATCGATCTTCACTTGCTATCGTCTAACCCGTGTTAGGAATCACACGTTAAAAGGTAAGACCTCGTTAATCCTTAGCTAGCACAAGTTTCGACTTCTGAGGGCTGTCGTTCGTAGGGGTGCGACAGCTCGTTAACGGAAAAACAGATTTTAAACAGATTTATCAGAGCATAGATCCGATAATAATTTATTGGCAAAAGCATAATTGCGCGAAAAAAAAAATATATTTTTTAAACGGTAGCTTATCCTTTGACATGTTTTAAATGAGCCATAACGTTTTCAAATATTTAAATAAACATTTAATGTGAAAAAATATTTTCCGTGAAACGGTATTTAAAGCGGCCACGCGTCTGTGGTGGAACAGCCGCGCGGAGCCCTATTTTTAGCGTTAAATTTAAATTATAAATAATGTACATTTCCAGGAGGCAAAAAACCGAAATTACTCATTTTTCCTCGATTATTTTGTTTATAATAATCGTAATTTTTTACTCGCTGTGTCCTTGGGATACATTTTTCTTGGGCTCATTGCGAATAGAATGAGCCCTTGCTCATATTTTTAGAAGCTTTATCACGTTTTTCAACTTGATGCCTATTGTACCCATGTTTGGTGTGCGACCCGTCTGTATACCAGGTGTTTTTGCTGAGCATGTTCTCGAGATGCCTGTTCATTCTCCATTGTCGGTGGTGGAGTTAGAGTCGAAAATGTTATTCGATATCACGTGGTTCACAATGTCAACATATTCCAAAATTTCTGTTTCACCCAATCTCACATAATTCAATGAGTTTTTCAGTCTGAATTTGCCCACCCTTGCTCTCCCCATTATTACAAGATATGAAGGATTCAAAAGTACCTCCAATGCACCTGTTGAGGTGTATTTCATTATTCATATTATTCTCATACAAACTTAGTTTTTGCACCCTGCCTAATTTGTTAATAGCGGTCGTTTGTTTATATTTATATATTTCAACCGAAGTGAAAATATGTTCACTCTTCAGTCAAGTTCCAATGAGTTTTTTTTCTTTTGGAAGTTGTTAGTTATTCACATTGACTTTATCGGTCCTTCGATATCATTTATACATTTATAATAGCCAAACATGCATTGCTGAGTGCCTCGATTTTATTTACTCACCTTGTGGTAAATCTGTACCATAAATATCAATAACTTCACGTTCTCCTTGACCATATGGAATATTCAGTTGATTTGGAACAGAATTCTTCACTTCCTCACTACCTACAGGTAGAAAAATTATTATATTAGTCAAAAGTAATTTCACTAAACTCCGAACATTGCACAAATATTGAAAGTTTTGTAACCATGTCGAAAGCTTGACATCCATTAAAAGTTTATCCAGTATAGACATAATTCAGCAGTCTAATTTGCCAAAAGGGCAGACATTATATTTCATTCAAAAAACTACAGAAAGCGAAATAAATTTCTTGGGAAGTGGACTTCTTGGGACCTTTAGTACAGTAAAATTACATTTGGGAAATCATGAAAAAGTTTGTTGAGTACCAGTAAGCTCTACTTTAATTGTGGTAGAAAGTCTGTCGCATCATCAGAATGCCAAATTTTACTTCTTTCATTACAAAATAAAAAAAAACTGAACACATCTAAAAACTGTTGTAAAGTGTTAAAGGTGAAGTAGAAAGCCCAAATTTTTTTTCCCCATAAATGTGAATACTATATAGACACGCTTCAGTGCCTGAATAAGCCACGACGTGTAATGTCTGGAGAAAAGATAACCATTTTTGTAGGCATATATTTCCTCTCTTTCAGGATTGGCTCACTCCAAGGCGTTTATTCACCCTTCGAAGTTTGATATCAAACAGTTGTTGGACTATAGTAGGGGTGAACTTTGTGTCTGTCCCGCTGGGGACCGAATCAGGTTTTCAGAGTTTGGCAGAGCCATACTCTTATCATCTTACCTAAAAGACCAATAACCATACAAACATATCGGCTTCGTTAAGAAGCTGGCTTTATTTGGTCGAGTGTGAATATGTGTGAGCCACAATAAACTCTTGCGGGTTGCGGTGGAGGGTCGAATAGACCCATTCACTTTTGACCTAACCAAACCTAACCATCCCTCTTTGATAGTAGAAGGTAAATTGAACTGTTCCTCATTAATAATGACTTTGTCTGTGCATTGAGAATACTATATGATTTTTTCATAACTCATACCCATTGGAACCATTGGCCAACCCAAACTAATTTCAACATAAATGATAAATATTTTAGTGGTGTACAAAATTTTATCAAGATACACAGGTTGGCTTCAAAGTTAGTTTTTAATGTGAAGGATGCGATTGTTTTTTATCTGCTCAAATTTTTTCGAACCGGGGAGTGATGTCTGATAAAGCAACTCTTAGTTCTTTGCTGACATCAAGCCTTCAACAATATTTTGACTTCTTGGCTGCAAGGGCAGAAAATCCTGTTTACATAAATATGTAGTTGCAGATGGTACTAGCATTCTCATCGCTTGCTCATACAGTCTTAGGTGCTCGTTTTTAACACTTATCCAGAAAACTGACAAAAAGTTTTTGTTTTTCAAATCTTGACTTTAATAACTGATTGCACTGAAGTTCAATAAATTCTTCTTGATCTGCTAAATTCAACGAATTCATTTCGTTCAGATCTTGAAATGGGTTTTGAACCCAATTAAACGGCTGGAGGTCTTCATAGAAATATTCATTAAATTTTGTCTGTAGAGTGGACAGATGTTTTATAAAACAAGTTGCTAGCTCTTGTGAAAGCTGAACACACTCAACTTCCTGCAACATGTTCAGCAATGTGGGGAAAACGCTCAAATCAGGTTTTTTCACAGCTGATTCCCACAGCGACAACTTGAATAAACCCTTGTACATTTTCACTCCAAGCAAGGATATTGGCATTTTTTTTTGAAAAACTTGTTTAAAATATTCAGTTTTGCGAAAGTATCTGCAAGGTAGGTTAACTTCAAGATGAATTCTGTATTGCAGAATAGGTCTGCTGAAGGGTGGCTACGATCACTTAAAAACACAAACACCTTGAATTGAAGGGGTTATATTTTTAGAAGTGATTAATTTTTGTGGAAGAAACACCTTATTTCTAAGCTCAAATATTTTCCCTTGCACACTGAAGCCACCTGGCTTCAGTGTGCAATAATAAATCTGTATGTTCAGATCCCATATCTTCACATGCAACTTTAAAGGCTGTGCTTTGATTAAATTTACTGTTTTAATAACAATTTGAAGAACTTCATTTAAGCTTGGACTTAGGTCTTTCGAGGCAACTGCCTCTCTGTGTACAAGGCCGTGGTTCCATTTGACGTTTGGGGCAACAGCTTTGAACAAACCTTGAATTCGTTTGTTTCATGTCTTTTTGTGTTGGTGTTGTCTCGGAAATTTTCGTTTTTTTCAATGTTTTTTATCTTTTTTTAAATATGTATCTAATATGTCTGATGGTTTTTAAAGTAGTAATATTATCAACACTAAAAAACTACTTTTCGAGCCCTGAAGATTTTAGGGTAGACAAATAGGGGGAGGTAAATTAATAGTAAAAGTGTTTTTAAATAAATTCTAAAGCTTGTCGCGACATATAGGTACCTATTTCATGAAAACACATAAAATATAATTTTTAGAATTACGTATGACAATAGCATGTAGCATATTGTTTTTATATTATGTAATTTGTGTAATGTTATGATTTTTTTTAGAACAAAACACAGGCACTACAGGAAAATCCTTGAAGCGCTCTCAGAGCGGTGCCTATGATGGATTTGACTTAATTTACACTCATATTCTTTTTTTTATTGCATGTTAATTAAAGCTTGTTTTTAAAAATGTGTTTTACTATTTATCTATTTTTATCTTAACTTCCCTTTCAACTTCCGATTCCTAGCATGGTTCATTTATCCCTTATATTTTCGTTAGTTATTTTGCATAAATAGTTACAAAGGTTAGTACAAATATCTACAATCCAATCTTTTTCATGGATTCGTGAGTTAGAATGTTTGAGTTTAATTCTACTGTAATTTTTAATATTTTATAAATTACTTTTGTAACGTTCATGTCAAGTTAATGTTACTATGTATGTTATATTTATACTTATCTCGGAAAAGGTTATCAGTCGATCTGATAATGATATTTCTCCAACTAACAATGAAATGTTTATACTTATTATTATGCTAAAAATCAAAGTCTTTCAGCAGTATATGTTACATTTAGGTAAGTACATAGGTAAATGTCTGAAATACCAATTGTAATTTTGTGTCCCGGTTTTACTAGGTATTTTACTGACTGAACGACAATAAATTCTCACAGAGGCATGCAAAATCCCTCTGCGTTTACAATTCACGTTCGAATCCAATAATAAACAAGTTCACTTACATTTTGTGATGAAATTGACGTGTTCTAAACATATTCTTTCCCGTGGAAATCTTTTTGACCAATAACTTGGTGACAGGTCAATATCGAATGCTGAACAATCATTTGACATGTTTATATCCAGAAGCAACTAGGTATATACCACGAATGTACGATGTGTTATGAGAACTTGTGAACGAAGCCGTACATCAAGCAACTGTGGTATTATATTTATGCGGCAAGGTCGACCATGTTGATCGAAAAACAATGTTATCCTTGATCTTGCAAGTTTACAAATTGATATTCGTACCATTACGAGAAAAACTCAGGTTATAGTTATGATTGCATTTATCAACAATATTTTTATCATGTTATCTACTGATATAATTTAGTGAAAATTTAAATAATCACCACTTACATAGTGTCTCAAATAAAAAAGAGAAAAACTCTTTGGAAGTGAAATATCTTCTTTTTATTTTAGTGTAGTGCCTTCAGACCTTTCAAATAAAACTTGCTGGTCATCATCTATAGTAATTAACAATGAGTAACCCTTTTGTATTTGACATTCTAATGTGTGTAATTAGGTGTGTAAAGTAAGTCAATTCATATTTCTCATATTGGTCCATTTGAAACGTATTTAACAATGAAGATATACCTGAATTTATGCAAGAATCCTAAAACTTTCTGTCCGAAGAAGCTTTTTTTCGAATAAATCGAAACAACATGAGAGAACTAAAGAGAGGGGTACTATAATATTTGTATTAGAAGGAACCTGAGAGTGAAACAGGAAATGTTGAATTCTTTTGAGACAACTGGACATTTTTGTGTCCATGTTCCCCCCTCAGATATAATACACTTGTGGTAGCGTTTTTTTCAATACTCGAAGCAGTTAGATATGCACTTTTTGGTATGTGCTTGAGGTCTCTCAGAGATTCGGTTTTTATCTCATCAATCGTCGTTTCGTGGGTTTCTTCAATTTTGGGAACAGGCAAAAGTCCCAGGGGGCAAATCTGGTGAATACGGCGGCCGAGGCATGATTACTGTGTTGTTTTTGGGCAAAAAATCACGAACAAGCAATGACTAGTGAGTAGGTGCATTATCGTGATGAAAAAGTCATCAATTGTTTTTCGAAAATGTCAGACGTTTTCTTCATATTGCTTCGCAAGCCACTCTCATCTTCAAGATAATACTCTCTATCGACCGTACGACCGTGTGGCAAAAACTTTTGATGCACTACGCCAGGTTAATCGCCATTTCACAATTTTTGAGCGATACTCATGCGATTTTTTTGGTCTAGATTCAGGGCGAGCAGCGTCATTCACTTTCCGACTTTCTGTAAAAAGCTTTTACCACTTGTAGGTAAACATTTTTCTGACTCGGAGTACAATCACCGTATGCTACTGTCAACATTTCAAGTGTTTCTGAGCACTTACTTTTATTTTTTAAATAAAATTTGATGCAAATTCTTTGATCCACACACATCGAATGTGCATACTCAGGAATATTTTTATGCAGGAGCATAATTTAAATTTTTCTTTCTTATGAACTGTTGATACATATTTTTGTTTTCTGATTTCATTTTTGAAACATTCCAGAATAGTAGAATTAGGTACCATTAACATGGACTATAAGAGACATCCTGTTATTGTCTTCTCTAGTAGGTATGTTTTGATTTCCCAATCTGGAACCGAGTTGTATATGTGTCTAATAAGTAAATTGTCTTCGAATGATGACCCAGAGACGATTGTGGAAACTGACAATCAAATCGTGAAGTAACTTGGCTTGAAATCTCTCAACTTTGTTTTCAGTTTTTTACTTTTATTTTATTTCACTGTAATTTCATTTTTTGCTTCATATAATTGTTATTTTCAGCTATTCATTTTAATTTTCAATTATATTGGTTCTTTCAGGGATTTCAAATCATTTTATATCATATCAGACAATGGAAGCCTGAACTGATGAAATTCACCATGAAACATTGTCAACCACTTTCAAACAATCGTTATTCAGATATCTCTCATATATCAAACTTACGTGTCCACCCCTGTTAGGTAAAGAGGCAAGGAGAGAGTATACCTCCTTAACTCAGGGAACACAAATTAAATATAAAACCTAGTTTATTATTTTCCACATGTCAAGACTGTCTGGACAGGTGGATTCAAAATCCTTCACAAATTCAATCAAATAATTTCTATTTCATGATGCAGTTAACATTCAATTCCAAGAGATGTCCCCACTTATAGACAGCTGCTATGGAATACTTTGTTCGAACTAATGAATAAACGCTCCTTAGATGGGAAAGAGGGATATAGAAGGCCCCGACATTCTGTCGAATGAGGCCCTCATGTCCCCCGTTGAAGGATGAACACATTTTTCATCCATCCCACCCAGCCAGTTAGGGGTACACCGTGAAGGGCGGTACTGAAGTCTCAGACTTTCATACCGCCACCACCTCCTAGTCATGAACCCATTTGTCCTTCTGACAAAAATCAGCTACAATGGTAAGGGGGCTAGGCTCCAACCTGATTGAACTGATGATGGCTGTCGGGGGAAAGGGAGGGACTTAGTTAGGGAAGCTATATATTATGCTGTAGACGACCCCTCCCGACATAGAAGGCCCCGATATTCTGTCGAATGAGGCCTTCATGTCCTCCGTCAACAGATAAACAATTTTTTATTCATCTCACCCCAACCAGGTAGAGGTACACCGTGAAGGGCGGTACTGATGTCTGAGGACTTTCATACCGCTACCACAACTCAGTCATGACCCATTTGTCCTTCTGACAAACGCCAGCCGCAAGGGTAAGGGAGCTAGGCTCCAACCAGTCCGAACTGATGATGATTATTGCAGTTGATATCCAATTCCGACAGATGGCACCACTTATAGACAGCTATGGAATACTCAGTTCTAACTAATAAATCAACGCTCTTTAGATGGGCAGGTGGGAGCCGTTAGTTAGGGAAGCCACAGATTATGCTGTAGACGACCCCTCCCGATATAGAAGGCCCCGACACTCTGTCGAATGAGGCCCTCATGTCCCCCGTTAAAGGATGAATAACTTTTTCATCCATCTCACCCCAGCCAGGTAGGGGTATCCCGTGAAAGGCGGCACTGATGTCTAAGGACTTCATTGCCGTCATCAACTCAGTCATGAACCCATTGGTCCCTCTCAAGACCAACAATCAGCCAAAAGGGTAGGGGAGCTGGTCTCCAAACCTGGATAAAATCAGGATGAATCGTCAGGGCAGGTGGGAGGGTCACAAAGCAACAATTTCAGAACCACGACTGTCTTGACAGGTGGATTCAGAATCCTTTGTAAATTCAATCAGAGATTTCCATTTTATAATGCAGTTGATATCCAATTCCGACAGATGGCACCAATTTCAGAACCACGACTGTCTTGACAGGTGGATTCAGAATCCTTTGTAACTTCAATCAGAGATTTCCATTTTATAATGCAGTTGATATCCAATTCCGACAGATGGCACCACTTATAGACAGCTATGGAATACTCAGTTCTAACTAATAAATCAACGCTCTTTAGATGGGAATTCTGATCGAATTTACAAAGGATTCTGAATCCACCTGTCAAGACAGTCGTGGTTCTGAAATTGTTGCTTTGTGACCCTCCCACCTTCCCATCTAAAGAGCGTTGATTTATTAGTTAGAACTGAGTATTCCATAGCTGTCTATAAGTGGTGCCATCTGTCGGAATTGGATAGCAACTGCAATATAAAATGGAAATCTTTGATTGAATTTACAAAGGATTCTGAATCCACCTGTCAAGACAGTCGTGGTTCGTGGTATAATGCAGTTGATATCTGTCTTCACAGGCGGAAAATAATGAACTAGGTATCATATTCAATTTGTTTCATGAGTTGAGGAAAAAGTCGTGGTCCTGAAATTGTTGCTTTGTGACCCTCCCACCTTCCCATCTAAATAGCGTTGATTTATTGGTTCGAACTGAGTATTCCATAGCTGTCTATAAGTGGTGCCATCTGTCGGAATTGGATATCAACTGCAGTATAAAATGGAAATTTTTGATTGAATTTACAAAGGATTCTGAATCCACCTGTCAAGACAGACGTGGTTCTGAAATTGTTGCTTTGTGACCCTCCTACCTTCCCATCTAAAGAGCGTTGATTTATTAGTTCGAACTGAGTATTCCACAGCTGTCTATAAGTGATGCCATCTGTCGGAATTGGATATCAACTGCATTATAGAATATAAATATTCGATTGAATTTATAAGCTTTTCAATCCGCCTGTCAAGCCAGTGTCGTGCAACCCATCTAAAGTTCGAAATAAGTATTCCACAGATGTCTATAAGTGAGGTCATCTATCGGTATTGGATGATGACTGCATTATAAAATAGAAATATTTGATTGACTTCATGAAGGATTTTGAATCCACCTGTCAAGACTGTCGTGGATCTGAATTTGTTGCTTGTGATCCTCCCACCTTCCCATCTGAAAAGCGTTGATATTATTAGTGATTAGCTATCTATAAGTGGTGTCTATCGGAATTGGATATCAACTGCATTGTTAAATAGACATATTCGATTGAATTTATAAAAGATTTTGAATCTGCTTGTCGAAACAGTGTCGTGCTTCTGAAATTGTTGCTTTATGACAACTCCCAATCTAAATAGCATTGATTTATTAGTTCGAAATAAATATTTCATAGCTGTCTGTAAGTGGGGCCATCTATCGGTATTGGATGATAACTTCATTATTAAATAGAAATATTCGATTTAATTTATGAAGGATTCCGAATAGACCTATCAAGACTGTCGTCTATGTGGTCTTGATTTCAGACAGGTTGGAGCCTGGCTCCGTTACCCTTTGGACTGATAAGACTGTGTGGTGGAAGGTCATCTTCGTTTCATTCAGGATAGGAGTCCAGCTCCCTTACCCTTTTGGCTGATTATTGATCTCGTGAAGGACCAACGGGTTCAAGACTGTCGTGTATCTGAAGACCGTTGATTTATTAGTTCGAAGTGAGTATTCCATAGCTGTCTATAAGTGGGGCCATCTGTCGGAATTGGATGATAGCTGCATTATAAAATAGAAATATTTGATTGAATTAATGAAGGATTTTGAATCCACCTGTCAAGACTGTCGTGGATTTTTTAATCCGCTTGTCAAGACAGTGTCGTGCTTCTGAAATTGTTGCTTTATGACCCTCTCACCAACCCATCTAAAGAGCGTTGATGTATCAGTTCGAACTGAGTATTCCATAGCTGTCTAGAAGTGGTGTCATCTGTTATAATTGGATATCAACTGCATTATAATATAGAAATATTTGATTGACTTTATGAAGGATTTTGATGCCA